GACCTAGAAGGCCCGTGTTGTGGAGCAGCCTGTGAGGGGCTATGCAGTACCCGGATGAGCGTGCCTCCGCAGGCAACTCGAAGGCAGGAGTCTCACCCTCAGATGGTGAAATGTGTTTCAGGTTTTCTAGACTCTTCCTCTGTCCTACGTCTCACCGGATGCTCAGTTTTATTGATGTAACCTGCGCCAGAGGCCCAGCTTCCTCCTTGCAAAGCTGACCCTCATTCCCATTTCAATCTGCTAACGTGCGATTGCTAATGCAACTGCCTGGTTTTCCTTCCCTGTGAAATCCAATCTAGGCAATTGGCTGGATTCACAGACAGGCTTTCGTGCCCTCTGGTGGATGTTCACAGAAAGAGCCACACCCTTGTGCAGTAAGAAAACTCTGACTGAAAAATTAAACATTCGTTAGAGTATGAGAAGAAAAAGAATCGAGCCCTACTGAAATGAAAAGCTTAGATGCCCAGATTAAGTAAAACTTTAAAAATCTCTCAAAGAAATAAAATACTGGGAAAGATTTTCAGAGGTAACAGAAGATTTAATCTCCTTTATCTTTTAAGATTTATCTTTTAGGGTTTCTTTTTAAAAAGAAATGAAAATCCTAAGATTGAAATTGTAGTTATTATTTACAGTGAAGTTTATGGAACAACAGACATGTCTTGTTACAGAACTTTAAAATCTCTCTGTAGAGAGCAAATTTTAGTTAATTGTCTGCCACTTAAAGGAAAAATTGGTGAAAACTCAATCACTATTACTAATACCAACAATGTTTGTTGCAGAAATATATGAAGATTCCTGAAGCAAACTTAACATGATGACCATTCAATCATTTTCCCCAAGTTTAAATGAAAATGTAACTGTGATATTTATTATGACATCTTTGGCATAGAAGTTTCTATGAATATAAACCCTTTCTGCCACTCCAGGCACCCTCCTGTGCCTATCTATCCTCACACTTCCACACAAGCTCCCTAAATAACAATGAATCACACACCAAGTGTTCAAGTGTGAATCACTTAATAAATTCTGATGGCTTGAGCACCGACTTGAATTATCTTTTAAGTCATTAGGACTCTTCTCTAGAGTTGCTTTTATTTTTAAGTATTAATTATAATGTCTGCTCTGCAATTGAAAAGGGCGTTGATATGCATGCTCATAGAGTAAAGACAACACTCTACTTCCAGTAAGGTATTTGCAACAAATACGATTGTAAGCCACATTCTCTGATCTTGAGCTTTGCAACCACTTTTCAAACTAGTGTCAGAAGGAAACAATATCTAGAACAGAGATTGAAGAAAATACCCGCCTCGAGTCTTCCCTCTCATGTTAATTTGCTACATACCTTACGCAAATAAAACATTACTTCAGAGTCCACATTTTCTCATCTGTGAGATGAAGCCAGTAATACATACATGTACCCATTTGTGTAAATTCTCTATTTTTAAATGAATACTGGACAATTATACATAGTCTCAGGTACAGTAAGATTTATTGACACATTCAATGCATGGTGATCGCATCAAAGTATTAGTAAGTCAATCACTTCAAACATTTGAAACAATTATGTTGAGATTTTCTACTATACAAGTATTACATATGCATTATTGAATAATTAGAAAATCCTGAAACTTGGATAAAAATTAAACTCTAATCACATCACCTAAAAGACCTATATCTACCATTGTATATTTTCTCAAATTTCCTCCTCTTTTCACTTGCTTTGCTGGTTCAGAATTGAAAAATCATCTAGTTGCTTAATAGTATGTTTGTTTTTATTTAAGTATCCTCATTTATTTGGTTTCAAAAATCAAAAACGGTAGTACTATAAACTAGCGACAAACAAAACTTTTCTGTTCTTATTCTACAAATTACTAACTCTTTGTCACATTTCTTGAGACCCAGCCTTTCAATTTGTAATCTTTTGTTATTAATATATATGACCTAACTTACAAATGATGTGCTTTATCACTATTTGATTTTCTCCTTAGTTGTGCATACTATTGATTGGCTTTCCATAATCTGGGATTGAGGATTTAGGTTTCCACTATGTCCTGCCACCTTCCCTCATACCCACTTTTCTTCTCCAGAGATTTGCAATGTGAATAACACCCATTTGAAAAATACTAATTTAACAATTTTAATTAAACAATGCTATTTATACCATTCATAGTTAAACATTTTAAACAGTAGTGATTACTTGTATTGCTCATAGCTGTGGGAGGCCATTAACCGATGTCCATTCTATTCCCCTGCTGAGTTAAGTTTATGGTCCTTCTCACCCCACCTATTTCCCATAAGTCTCCTGCTATACTCGGAGGTGGGACTTCCTGTTATGGTCAGGTTGCCTAGTTACTCTCGCCTTTTACCCGCCGACGTCATTTCCCTATGCCTCCGCTATATATACCCAGCACCTCCCCTAAATAAATGATTCTTGATCAGAATCCCGTCTTGTCTTCATTTCTCGCGTCTCCTGTCCTTTGTCCCCTCTTCAGTTCCCCGCTCCTCCCCCAGGTGACCTTCGTTGACTGACCCGCTGGTTCAGGACACATAGCTTAATCGTTTTTCAGTTAATTCAACTCTCAGATTTAAGTTGCCTTGTTTTTGCACTTCTTTCACTTCCTATTTCTCAATCATCATTTTATCAGCATATTTACACCTTATTTCACTCTGTAATTATTATTCTCCTGCTGCATTTACTTTTTGGGTTCTGATTAGAGTCAATTCTTCCGGCTACTGCAGTGCCATCTCCCAGTAGCTTCACTTTCTTATAGTTTTAAAAAATTCTCTTGTTTTTAATTCTTGGGCATTTCCGGATTGCTTCATTTTACATTTGCTTCATTATTTTCAATTTCTTCCCTGAAGACACTCAGAAAAGTGGAGAAACTCAAAATTTCCATTAATTATGACAACGATTTATGGCAACAAGAGATTATGTCCATCTCAGTCTTTCCGGGTTCTAAGCTCTTAGGACTAACTCAGTCATCTTTTCACTATGTGGCCTCATTACTCTTGCGGATGAAATGTATTTCTGTTCCTTTCTTACAATCCTATAGGGTTCCTCATTCTCCATGGATGACTTCAGGTGGGGCACACACACTTGCTTCTTCATCAAACCTCTTTCATCAGTGATCACAAATAAGATATATTAACACCAGTAAGTTAGCTGTCCCTGGCTTTCACTTAACTTTCATAGGCATTCTTTCCATTAATTTCTCCTCCAATGACTTCTTGGAATTTCCAGTATGAGTGATTATTACTTACCAACATTTGCTTAAATGCACACTAAGCACCAAGTAAGCTGCTTTAGACACTCAGGGCATAAATCAGTGGAAAAGATAATGATCTTTTTGTCTCATTTATTTCTATTCTTGGCAAGAAAGACAAACACCGGTCTACAAATAGAATTTAGCTATGACATATAGTAGCACATGCTACAAGCTATGGATAAAGAAAAATATACTTGAGCAGAGAAAGTGGGGATGCCAGGGTTGGAAGAAACTCTTCTTGAACATATGATATTGAGAATGGGTGGCTTTGAGAAGGCCATTTTTGAAGGATGCTCATAAGGAGATGAGGAGGTGAAGTAATGTTGGTAGCTATAGCAAACATGTTTTGTTATAAACAGAAAGAACTAGTCTTAAGGCCCTCAGGAACAGAAAGGAATAGGAAAATGTGATGCCCAGTAGACTTGAGGATAGTGTCTCTGGAACAAAGGAGAAAGGAAAGAATGATAAAGAAAGAAACTCAAAAGAAATATGGATGACATAGGACATGTGTGAAGGTCTTTGACATGTTCTTATCTACATGTATAGTATCATTGGAGTTTAGTGGATAGGCATGATTTTTCTCATACTGTAAAAGAATCACCATTGCTATTAAAGTTGGCCTGCAACATGTATTAGCAGGGCATTGCAGACCAGAACAATGCTGAAATACCAGCACATACTGCTTACAATGGTTGCTTTGCTTTACATCTAGACTTCCCTGCAAAGCCTCAGGCAGTAGTAGATGGGGCTGTGGGGAGGTGACCAGATTATGTGCATAAGATATCTGGCTTGCTGCTGGTAGCAGGCATCTGGTCTGAAGAGGTGGTCACTGGGGGCCTGGCTTGGAAAGGTTTATCTTCCTTTGTAGCTCCCCTCTTGGGCTCTCTCTGCTTCCTGTTCCCTTCCCCTGAGCAGCTCCTCTCTGCTGGGCTGTCCTGCATTGGAGCCACTGGATTAGGAACTGAAACCTCTGCAAACTGCAAGCCAAGATAAGCCTCTCCTTTAATTTTCTGGTGTCAGGTATTTTGTCAAAGCAAAAGGGACCAAAATCCATAACACTCATGAACCAAAACCTGGGAAGGATATGAGGCCACAGAATCTCTCATTCATTACTGTATGAACTACAAAATTCACCTTGGAAGATCAGCAGTTTGTTGAAAATTTACCAACTAATCTACTCTTGGTATTTACCTAAGGAGTTCAAGATATATGTCTACACAACAACTTGCACATGGATATTGACAGCAGTTTTGTTCATAATTGCCAAAATTTAGAAACAACCAAGATGTCCTTCAGTATGTAAATAGATAAATAAATGGCTATACATAAAGGCAATAGAGTCTTATTTAGCACTGAAATGACAGAGTATCCAGCAATTAAAAGACAGAGGAATCGCATACATATGACAAAGAAACCAAACTGAAAGCCTAGGTACTATCAGGTTCCAACTGTATGATATTCCATCAAAACAACCAACTATTGACAGGAGTTGAAGGGGAGGGAAAACTGGATAAGCAGAGGAAACTTCAGTGCACTGAGTGTGTTCCGTATGATGATGGTATGATGATAGGTACATGGTTTTATACATTTTCCAAACCCATAGAACTTACTACACTAAGAATTAAGCTTAGTATAAACCAAAGTCTTTGGATGATGTTCATATGTCAGGGTAGCTTTATCAATTTTAACAAATGTAGCATTCCAAGGAAGTATGTTGGTAAAAATGGAATATATATATATATATATGAGGTATCTGGGAAATTGCTGTACCAGCTGCTTAATATTGCTCTGGACCTGAAACTGCTCTTTAAAAGTTTATCTCAATTACTATAGCTACTCTATTATAAATTGAAAATAGGAGGCAAAGGCTGGAGAAAATGGACCAGTTAAATGCTATTGCAGTAGCCAGACAAAAACTAACTAATGCTGATTGTCTTTCTAGAGGTATAGTAGGCAGGTATCCTTTGGGGTTTAGCTTTATACTAAAAGCAGAGTCAACAAGCCTTCCTAAAAAGAATACTGTAGAAAATAACAGGAAGAGAAGACTCAAGTTCTCTAACCTCAGCAACAGAATTGGTGTAGTTATCATTAGTTAAGATAAACGAGCTTTTGCTAAAAGAGGTCTGAAAAGATTAGGAGCTAAGTTTGGTCAAGTTAAACTTCAGATCTATTGATAATAAAGAGGATACAACAATAGCTTTCTATGAGAAATTTACTGAAAAGCATGTGGCATCAGATATGGATGCTTTTCCCTGTCCTGCCACTGTCCAAATGTTCTTTGCATGGATCTTGTTATTACATCTGTAGAGTGCTCAGTAAGAACAATGTCTATGCCAAGTTTCTTATTATGCCCAGCCTCAAGGGACTGCAGAAAAGCAGTAGTCTGTGGAAGACACATTAACACAAAAAAATGGGAATTTCCTCTCGTTCCCCATATTAGCATTATAATGCTCCATGTTTTACTCAATTCCTTCAGATTTTGTCTACAGTTTCTTCCTCTTTGGGCTTAGGTATAAAACTTCTTGGAGTGAAACTTGTAATCACTTTTCCTTCTCCACTTACCTCTCCTTTTACCTGAACTCAAACATTTTGTCTTTCTGGTTCCAGGACTGAATGTGTCTGAATTTCTGCTTATGCTACTAGTAAATTATGATAATTACTATTGACACTGCACTAGGGAAGAGATCAGATGTAGATGTAGGGTTGGGAGCAGACAATACCACTTTGGGTCATGCTGAGGAATCCCAAATTTAAATGGAGGTGATTCCAACCCTACCTCATTCTTGCTTTTTGAGAATGAATGAAGAAGTATTTACCTGGTTATATAATACCAAATTATAGCACAGCAGTAGCATGTCAAGGGTCTACCACTTCATCACTAAAACATCTCCATGATCAAAACTCCTGCATCCATTCTTTTATCTACTTATCCTTTTCAGAATATATTAATAGAATTTTAGAAATTTCCATAAATAAAAGAACTGTGCTTAAATTGATGGTTGAAGATTGCAGATATTTCCAATATTCTCAGTAGATGACCCAGATCTACACCCGGTTCTTCAGAACATCTTCATATGAAGGTGGAGGGCCGAGTGTGCCAAAACATGGAATGGGATGACATGCTGGCTTTTGAGTTTGAAAGTGAAATCCAACCGTTGGACTTACAGCTCCTTCTGTCCCTGGAAAGAAATATGGAGGCATATAATCTTCCTACTCTGCACAAAAGAAAATCACAGAAACTGACTGATGAAATCTGGCATCTCTTGGATCACTGGAGCAAGAGGAAATTATTTGTACCCTTGGAAAAAGCATAAAACCAGCTTTCTCTGTACAGTAATGCATTAGCCATGATAGGAAGAAAATTTTCTCCAATTGATTATATCATCATTTACCAACCCATCAGGAAGCATTTACAATTTAGTAACAAAAACTAAAAGGAATACACTCTTAGTGTGTTACAGATCACAAGGGAGAAGTCCTTTAAGCACTCACTACACTTTGGTGAAGGCTCCGTCATGGAAAACGCGTGTCTCTCTAGAAACATTGAGATATCACATTCTAAATTTCATTGTTTTACAGAATGTCTAAAAACTGAAATGAAAGAAAATTATAACTTAACACATTTTCTTATAATAATACTAAAACATTTTAGATAAGTGGCACAAATTTTCTATTTAAGGTATACATGCGTGATAATGAGATGACGTTCCAAAATTTAAAATAAGTACTTTGAAATAAAAGTACTTTTTTCAGGTTAGCACAATCATGTATTCAACACTTTCCAAAATTCCTTTTCTTCCAAAAACATGTCATTTTCAGATACCTCAAATTTATTTTAATAATTTTGAAATATATTGTTATTTCCTTGAGAGACCGTCTTGGGGTCACAGAGGAGATCAATACTAGTTCTTATAACTATTTCTCTTTATTGTTTTTTTAACTTGGATCTTTATCTGACTTTGAATGTTCTGGATTGCTCCATCGCAAAACAATACTGATAATCATTAATTCATATTTAAGGAAGAAACTAGGTTCTTGAAGTTAATCTGTCTCTTGACTCTTTCTGTATATTAAATTTTAATTGGAACACAACCATGTATATTCATTTATATACTGTCCATGACTGCTTTTGACCCACAATGACAGAGCTGAATAGACCACCAACAGATCTCAGGGATCTTCTTTTTTTTTTTTTTGGTGGAACCAGGGATTGAACTCAGGCCCTTGCACTTGCCAGGGAAGCGCATATTCCACTGAGCCATCTCCCCAGCCCCTTCAGGGATCTTAAAACACATAAATATAAAAGTATATTGCATCTATCCTTTAACAAGAGATGTCTGCCTTCCTTCTGTAAAGGATTAAGATGTGATGCCACTGGGGAGATTCCAAGGAACATGCCAAAATTACCAAGTGAATTAGAAGAGTTGTCACTTGTTTTGTCTTAGTTGCATCTCTGGATCTCATCTGTAGATTACCCAACATGGCTATTTTGGTGTAGAGAATGATAATTTAGAGTCCCGTATTTCCCCACATGTGCATTTGCGTCATTTCTTACCTTGCTCATGCTCATAGCAAATTATAATTATGCAGATATTGATACCACATGTGAAGGGTAGAGCTCTCTTTTTGGTTCAGTACTTTTTGGTTCTGTACCCTTCTTAGCAAGTTATGTATTTAATTTGCTAATCCACATTTTGTGTGTTATGTAGTATGCACTTACTCCAGCTTCCTCTTGTGCAATAAAAGGGCAATGATCGTATCTGGCTATGTAAAGGTGAGATTAAATGAATGTACAGTGTTTAAGATGGGGCTTGTCACACAGCAAACGTTTATTATTAGTAGTATGCATGAAGAACTGTGACGTGCCAGCAACATTATTTACAATATAATTCCCGCATCTATCCTATTTTAATGGTTAAATAATGGTTTATTCATTACCATTACTAACTCTAATAGGAATTATTAAATAATGGATATCATAGAGGAAGGCCTTTTTTCAGTTCACAAGCTTAGGCTGAAATTGACTAAGTGTATGGGGCTCGTATAGAGAGTTACAATTGAAAAATGTACTGACTCTCCAAATCCCTTGCATTGAGAATACTGATACTAAACACTTTTCCTGCAGACCGCTCCTGGTGCAGCCAGTACAGAGTCAGTGATAACTTAGCTACCATGCTGCTTGGAAATGGTTGACCAGTTGGCTGTACACATTTATAATTTGTGCTAGTTCCAATTTTTTTCCTACTGTCTCCATTATCAATACTGTGCGCCAGGTGATAGGATCTTGACAGCTGCTCTCTGTGGTAGGAGAGTTTTATTATCTTGTTACTTGGGATTTAGTGGTTGCCCTTAAATCTGATATGAAAGAAACACAAGACATTGATTGATAAATATAACTGAGCCAATGTGCTCGGAAGCTTGAGAAAAGGAACATTTATCAGTTTCCAATATTTTCCAAAAAGTGTTTTAACGTAAAATTTAAGTTGATTGTGGGTGTAAAGATAGACATTATATTTTATCTTCTAGCAGACTAAGAACCCAAGAGAAATTAGTTTAAAATTTTTACAAAAGTCCTATAGTTTTGCTAGAACTGCTAGCTGGGGTATTGGAATTTATAGTTTAATTTTGTAAAACCGATACACCAACTGCTGAGTTTTAAAATCAGAGTTCAGATTTCCGACTTTGTAAAAGATACTTTCAATAGATTTGATTTTTCAACATACCTTCTTCTACCTCTTTCTTCTCTTTTCCTTAAAAAAAAATGTTATCCAGCCTGGGGAGATAGCTCAGTGGCCTAAGTGTCTGTGTGGCAAGCACGAGGGCCCGAGTGAGTTTGATCTCCAGTACCGCATGCTGTGCCAGCCCTGAAACTGGGCATGATGATGATGCCTATAATCCCAATGGTGGGGAGGCTGAGACAGGAGGATCACTGAGCCAGAACTATGTAGTGAAACCCTGTATTTAATATTAAAGAAAAGACTCTTTAAAAAATGTTATCCATTTCTCACAAATACAATTGCTCATAGTCTTGAATTTTATTTATTTATTTATTTATTTGTTCAGTATCAGGGATTGAACTCAGGACCCTGCACTTGCCAGGCAGGTGTTTATTCTACTGAGCCACCTCCCTGGCCCAACAGTCCTGAACTTGAACCACAGTTCTACTATGTATTATCTCTGGGTTTGTTTTGCAAAGTACTTAGGATTGAACACAGAGCCTCCACATGGAGCTACATTCCTAGCACTTTTTATTTCCAATTTTGAGTCAATAGGTTGCTCTATGTGGGCTTAAAATTATGTTCCTCCTGCCTCAGCCTCCCAGAATGCTACGACTATAGACATGTGCCCATTGCCAAGGTGTCTGCGTTGCTTCATCTGGTAGTAGCTGCATCTCCTCATCTGTAGAACATAAAGAGTGCTCATCAACTCCTCACAGAATTGTCAGAAAGATTAAATGTGGCTAGGGCCAGCCAAATAGCTCAGTGGATTAAAGCACCGGCAAGCAGGCGCAGGGGCCCGGGGTTTAATCCCTGGCCCTGCGGTGCTGGCCCTGCCCCCGGAGCACACTGAGATGGCAATTGAGACTGGGCATGGTGGTGCGCGCCTGTAATCCCAGCCCTTGGGAGGCTGTAAACAGGCGGATCACTATGAGTCCGATTTAGTAGTGAGACCCTGAACACCCTGTAGACCCTTCCCTAAAATACCAAAGCAATAATAATAATAATAAATTAATACATAAAAAAGGATAAATGTGACAGGTCACATCAAGAGTGTGGCGCACAGAAAATGTCTGTAAGCACCAGTGCCTACTGTTATTATGCCCTCCACAAGCAGATATAAATGAGATGCTCCCTCTTTCTTACTTAAAATAAACTACTAAATATATAAATATAGAACATAAAGCCCAGGGGGAAGACCTGTAAAGGATCCTAAAATAGAAGGGTCCCCGGGGACCAGGAGGGAGCAGAAGGGACTCTGCCAGGCCTGTTGCGCTGACCTCTCCCGAGCCCTCCGCCCTCCTGCCTTCCCAGCTCAGAGCGCTCTCGCTGAATCACTGCCGCACACCACTATTTCTATTTTCTCTGAAATAGGAAGGAGGGAAGATTATCTCTGAGATAGCAGAAGAAATGGGGTCAGGGAGAGCGGAGAGTTGCAGGGCAGCATTAGTGGCTGCGCCAGGCCTGAGAAGTTCAGTGACGGTGAGTGTCCCCAGGAGAAGTGTCTCTGTGGGCTGTCCCCTCAGAAGAGGCAGACGACTTTCATGGGGCTGTAGGACCCATACAGCTCAGATCCACGCATGACGCAGAATGAAAGCAAAGGGATCCTGATACAGATTTTACAGCAATTTGCGACTTTTCACTAAAATATGGACAAGCAATGATGTGGGGGTAACTCTCTTTTCTCCCTCTCTCATTTTTTTAAAAAATATATTTTGGGGAAGGGTCTACAGGGTGTCCGGGTTCTCACCTGTAGTGATCCGCCTGTTTACAGCCTCCCCAGAGCTGGGATTACAGGCACACGCCACCACATTCAGTCTCAATTGCCATCTCAGTGTGCCCTGGGGGCGGGGCTGGCACTGCAGGCCCAAGGATCAAACTCCCCCCTCCCCAGCCTGCTTGTAGGCACTTTAATCCACTGATCTATTTGGCCAGCCCCCTTCTCTTCTTTTTTTAATTTCTAAAAAACCTTTTATGCATTTATTTGGTACATAGCCTCACTATGCAGCTAAGACTCATAGTGATTCTCCTGTCTCAGCCTCCCCAGTGCTGGGATTACAGGCGTGCACCACCATACATAGCTTTGGTGGCTGGCAGGGCACAGCCCAGGCCCTGAGGCTGGTGCCGCATGTGGTACCAGGGACAGAACCCAGGTCCTTATGCTTGCCAGGCAGGTGCTTAGACCACAGAAGTATCTCCTCAGCCCTCTCTTCTCTCCCTTGCTAGGGAAGGCTACATTGTTGATCTGCTTGAAGCCCAATTTGTCCTTTATTTCATCTCCTGGATACCAAACATACTTCTTTACTGCCTGTAAGTGTGTGTGTCTTCATTAATCTGGGCATGTATTCAGCTTCACAATCTTACTTTTAATAAATCTTACTGTTATCTGTATTCTCAATTAAAATAAGTACCTTTATAAATACATCTTTAAAAGTCCTTTGCCATTACCTATCATCCAAACACAATAATAAGGCAAAACAATTAACTTAACACAAAACTAGACTCTATTTTTTTCTTCCTGTTTCAAATCACTTATAATTTCTTTCTACTTCATTGTGTCACACAGTCCTTGGTTTATAACATGCAAATCATATGCACAAATTACAGACATGTGGTTATATGAGAATTTTAACAACTACTTGCCTTTGTTCTCGACCTTTACTGAAACATTGCATGCAGCCTTCTAAGAAACCACTTTTGGTGGCCCAGTGTATATTCTAATTCTCCATTTCTACATCTTTCGGGATTGGTGGAATGGTTGTGATTGTTTTAATTAGCAGTTAGGATGGATTACAAGGTGAGTATTAAAATAACTAACACAGGCAACAGGCCACACTCACAGCTACAGGCCATTCTACATTAAGGGCTTTTCTCACAGGCCCTAGCACTTCCTTTTGGGCTGGGCCAAGCCAATGCCCACAGGGGTCAATGGTAGGGCTTCTGCCACCATTTCAAGCCATAGGGCTTCTTCACAACTCCTTCTTGTCCTTGGAAAGCAGGACCTAGATTCTTTCCCACAATCTGTGTGTGATGAGCAACACAATTTTTTGTTTCTGACTTGTGTGGATCATTGAAATCAGTCTAGATGCACCTGAGTGCTAGAGTGGGCAAGTCAGTGTCCTTGTCCCTGTGTGATGGCTTGGGGAGCTCGGGGATGTGTTTGTCCCTTGACTGTGGCATGTAGCAGAGTCAGGAAGGGAGAAAATGATCCAAAGGACAAGTGGGTGGGGAGGCAGGGGGAGGGGAGAGGTACTGCCTAGGAGATGATGTACTTGGGTAGAAGGAAAAATAAGATGTTAGAGCTAGAAGGAAGGGAGGGAGAGAGAGGAAGGAAAGGATGAAGGGAGGGAGGGAAGAGACAGACAGAGAGAGAGAGAGAGAGAGAGAGAGAGAGAGAGAGAGAGTATCTCCTCACAGTTCTAGTGTTTGAATATCCAAATCAAGTGGGCATGGGGTTGGTTTCTCTGAGCCCTCTTACTCTGGCTTGCAGTTACCTCTGTCTTCTCCCTGTGGCTTCACATAGGCTTCCCTCCGTGACTGTCTGTGTCCCATTATCCTCTTTTTATAAAGATGCTAGACATATGGGTGTGACATCCATCATAATTACCTTAAAGAAATCATCTTTTTAGAAACTCTGTCTTCAAATACAAAAATATCCATATTGTTTGGGCATTAGGACTTGAACATACAAGTTCAATGGGGCTCAGTACAGGAGTATCAGCAGGATTGCTTTTTCATTTTTGGAGGATGAAGAACTCTGCCACTGTAAGTGGAGATAGAAGGTGATGGCTGAGCTCAAGTAGGTACCATAATTTCTTCTGTTGAACTCAGTGGTTATTTAAAGAAGACCTTGAGCCAAGGATCTACCAGCCAAAACCTCAAATGCTATGAAGGAAAGAAATAGCCAGCCATCTCTGTGCTCAATTGGGCACTGGGAAGACACGTGAACATAGAACTAAGAGGTACTCATAGGGCATAGGATATTTGGCTGAGTTCCCAAGAACTGTTCCTAGATTTCATGAGAGACTGGGATAGGCCAATATGTTAAGGAAAATACCTCTTTCTTCTCTTCAATATTTCTAATCAAGATATTTGGCATCATGAGCCATGTACTATTGTCAAAAGTTGCCATGGAGAGAAAAAAATCATTTTATATATTTCAATGTTAGCAAAGTTTACTCAACTCCAGTCCTTGATATTCAGCCACTTTCTTTTCCTCTTGGCTCTTCCACTTCGAGGGCAGCTTGCACGAGACCCTGAGATTGAAACCCCTGACCTCTTAGTCATCAGAGCAAAGATATTTCAGCTAATATGTTCAACAAGTAATGTTATTAAGATGAAATAAGTTGTGAAAAGATAAAACAAAGGTCTGGGAGGAACCCAAAGTTAATGTATCAAATCTAGTGTCTGCATTAAAATGTTTTAAATGACCCCTTTGTCACATTTTGTATTCAGGAGGGAATAGCCTGTCCTCCATTTTGTATGCACAAGATGTCAGGAAGGCCAGGGGGCATGTCATATTTTAATATGTCACCAATGTCATTAAAGTTATTTCTCCATTTTCTTTTCCTCTTTTGAATAGTGGTTGTAAGGAAAATTCAAGAGGATGGGCCCATATCTCAGTGTGGACCTATGAATCTCTTGTAGCTGGGATAAACCTTAAGTTATGAACACATACTCTGTGAGATCCCTGGTAGCAGATACTGTGATTTTGGTCCTTGCATCTTGGCACCCATACAAAGACCCTTAGAAGGTTCTCTACCTTCTTTTTGGAGAGAAATCCTTCCTTTACAAATTCTAGGCAGGATTCATTTCTCCGAAGAAATGACTGTGTAATGAGGATCTGGTCAGAAAATTAAGTCCAGTGTGGTCCCAAGTTTCAGGGTTCTTCAAAATATTGACCCACTGGAATTTATTTCCAGATATCACTAGGTAAGAAACCTCTAAGGCCCACAAAATGTGCCACTTCCCAAATTCTTCTGTTGTACTGTGTTCTGGAGAGGAGAAACAGGACCTTAAAATACAACTCTGGGGCCACATGCACACTGAACTATGTGAAGGGCTATTGCTGTACACCATATAGAGTATCACTTGGGCAGAACGGGTGGTGAACAGTAGATGAGATAACCCAACTCAGTGCACATGAGAGGAAAGGTAAGTTCAGACGGGCAACTAATAGAGCCGGTGGCTTCCAGGTTGATGGCAGTAGATAAGAGATTTTTTGAAGCAAGCTTAAATATTTTTTTTTCAGCAGAATAAGATCCAGAAGCTAAAGAAAGAATAGAATTAGGACAGGAGTGAATATTGTAGAACACAGCCCATGCCATTAATTAGCCACTCATTGGAAATAGTCTGTTGTTCAGAATCTGAAGCCATCCCTCGTGGCCAGCATGCGTTGATTAGGTTCTGAGTGACCTTTCCAAATCTTTCACTGAGTTGCTATGCAAATCTCTAAGCAGTCTGCATTTATCCCAGAAGAGTGAAAGAAGTACCATCTTCTGAGAGAAATATTGATGAGTTTCCAAGTAGGATATCTGAAAAGCCTCAGTCTACTGCCCAGAAATTGTTAGCTATAAAATGCACTGTGATTAGTATTATTTAAAAATAATTTTACCGTAGTTTTTTTCCAGTTCAAGATGATTTTGGAATAAGGCAGAGAATGAATTATCATGCCCCACTCTAAATTCTATTGCATCAAGATTATATTGGCAGTGAATCAGCCTTGTTGCCTTCTTGTGCTCCCGTTTGGGCTAGTTCAGGTGAATTCAGAGCATATATGGAAACCATCCCACAGAAAATAGAAAAATACTAGACACATAGGGCTGTAACTGTGGCACATAAATTGCCTCAGGATTGTAACAGCATGAGTCGCTTAATAATACATATAAAATAAGAAATAGACTTCTTTTAAGATTCAGTGTAGCCTAATGAAAATGTTTTCCTTAGAGTAAGAAGGAAGCTTGAGGCTCCTCTTCAGAAATGCAGGGAGGAGGAAGAGAGATGCTAACATTTGTAACTCTTCAGTTAAATTAAGAAAAATCGACCAACTTTATCCTGGAGATCTCACTGACAAATATATTTTGCTAGAAGGCCAGTGACCTATTTCCCTGCATACTCTATGAAGTGTCTTTGATTTTCAGAGGAAGATTTGTGGTCATTAAAGAATTTTGTTGTCCTTCCAAAAGTAACCATATCCCCAACTGATAATGTCACATCCTTGTTAGGTGATTTTTTGGAGTGGGAAAAAATACCAATAATGAAAACAACCACGGTATCTTGAAAATGTGTTTAAACTGAAGCTCATGGTTTACTTGCCCTCTTTTCAAGGTTTGTAATCCCAAATAGAAAAAGGAAAGGAAGTTTTGTTAATATATCCATTGACTATATCATATATTTTATGTGCAGCTCAAACCAATTCCTCTTCACTCAGTGTAGGCTCAGCCAAGCCAAAAAAGTTGGCCACAAACATTGTTGTCTACTTTTACTCTATAGTATTTGTTAGTTTTTTCCAGAGCACATCTTGTTCCAACCATGAAAAATCTTATGCTAGACCAAATTGCTGCAAGGTAGCTGTTAATTTTTACCAAGCACTCTTGAAGTAAATACCACGTTCAAGGAGGTGCCTGAGAAGGAAAGTTGCATATAATCTCTAAAAGAAAATAGTGTTCAACCTAAAGGGATCAACAGGTCATTTCAGCTTTCTGGAAACCAGGAGGTGATCGTTTTGGTGGACCTCCAGCGAGGGTAGACTGGTACAGATAACTCAAAGACCTCTGTGGTCTGTATTTCTTACTCACTTGTACAAACTGATAACTGATAGGACAGATATGGTTTCAGGTAGAAGAGGTTGGGGCCAGAAGGATCAGGATGCTCTCAGCGTGTCTAGAGTGGAAACACAGTGGATCGATACTCTCTTGCTCAATTCCAATTATGCTAGACACTGCAGTCTTAGCAATCTAGAAAGTGTGGTTCACTGCTAATTCAGATGAATTCAGTGAGTCATAGAGAACTTGGAAAATAAGATTATGAATACAAAGTAGGGCAGCTTGATATCCAAAACTCAGCAGTGTTCTGCAAGTTAAGCCCTACCACGTACGGGAGTGTCCATCCCTGTCCACAGACATCCCTCACTCCTCAAAGCAGGCCTGTCTCTCACAGCCAACGTATTATCCTGTGTTCAAAGTCTGCTTAGCAGGGGATACTTTCTCCAAGTTTCCAGAGGAGCCCAGAAGCCTGCGGGGAACTCACCACAGTTGATGTCCAAATCTCCAACAGCAAAAACAGCCATGGTGCGTGTTGTGGAATGAATCCGACGAGTTTTCAGCCAGTGATGGACACAGAAGAGCAGCACTCCACAGACAAAAGCCACGAAGAAAATCACAAACAGTAACCTGAGGCCAAAAGTAGCAGGGGAGAACTGAGGTACAGCATGTGGGAAGTCAGAAGTTTTTGTAACTTCCAAGAATGTGGGTGAGGACTCAGCTAGGCTAGGGGCAAGCAAACCAGGATGCTGAGTTCTTTAACCAATCCTTTCCACCAAAACATGGTCCCTGAATCTGCAGTATGGCTTCCTTCAGAGAGGGTTGATCATATTAAGTGGAGATAACCACTTCTTGGAAACTAGAAGATATTCTAAAAATATCATCTTGATTCTTCCCTCCCTTCCTCTTCCTATTCATTCATTCCTTCCTTTTTCCTCCCATTAGGCTTTCAGCCCATCAGTTTGTTCATTTGTCTACTCCTCCACTCATTCAAGCAGCATTTAGATAAGTGAACATATTTTAGAAGAGAATGTGGGTATTTAAACATTGAAAAGATGAATCTCTGTCTTTGAGCTGATAATAATCTAATTGATACAATGGACAATGTTAAATTTCCAAAAGATGAGAGTCAAGACTCAGGTTATAAAAAATGTTTTGAAATTTCTAATGGGCTACCTTGTAAAAGAGATGGGTTCTTATTTTGAATATGTTTTACAGCCAGAAGTGAAACCAGTAAAGAAATCATTTAGAAAGATTACAAGAGAAAAAAAAATTCATTTTAGTGTGAACTACCTCAAACTTTGGAATATTTTTTTTTTGTTACATATAGTTAAATTTCTTTCTACAAGAGACATTTAAGAGAGGCTAGAGAGCTAGCTCAGTGGCATATCAGCTTGCCTGGCAAGTGAAGGTCTGGAGTTTAATCCCAGGTGCTGAAGAAAAAAAAAAAAAAAAAAAGAAAAGAAAGAAATAAAGAAGTTACTTACGAAAACATTGACTAATAATCTATGAGTAATGTTTTAATAGATATTACTTTATGCAACCCTAAAATTTCTGTAAGCTGGATAATTTCGTACATTGTTTCAAATTATTTAGGAGAACAAGTAGGTATATAGCATCTACTGCTTCATATAATAAATTGAAGATGTCCTTACCAGATGAACCAGTCTTTGGGGTGTTGCTCATTACAATTTATACATCTAGTTGTAAAAGAAGAAGAAAAAGTACTAATATCTAGCTGGCTAAAGCCTTTTGCTTTGGGCCTCAAAAAGTGTGCTCAGCACACTTGTTTCTCCAGAACTGTCACCTGCACCACACAGGCACATCTCCCTCCACAACCAAGAAATGTGCACCCTTTACCCCCTCTGTTGCAGACACTGAGAACACAGGTAAAATTGAGACCATGAGAAATGTAAAGAGATAATTCTACTTAATAGATTTGATTCTAGAATTACAGATACCTTGGTACATCAAGAAGATAGGGTCTGACTTCAGGGCCAATATGTTGTAGGAATTAGGCAGAAAATCTTTGCAATGATTTTTCTTTTGTCTATATATCTGGGGTCCTTTACAATTTCAGTTCTCTAGAGAAGGAGCCTAATCTGTTAATCTTAATATCTTGGGAGAGAATAATAAGCATTGGACAATTTATTGCTTTGTGGTTGAATAAGTGGCAAACTAAGAAGTTAGGCTAAAAGGAGCACAAGTATGTAGCCACTCATATCATTTAAAGGAGTCTTAAGTGATAACTCAGAAAGAACAAATCATATATGTGTTTGTCCAGAACTCTCCACTTTCTTTTTGCCAATACCTACTCCCCCAACCCTAAAGTCTCCCTCTCTCTCTCTTTTTTCCCCGCAGAACCAGGGATTGAACTCAGGCCATTGTGCTTGCCAGAGAAACTCTTATTCTACTGAGCTATCTCCCTGGCCCCTGTGCAGAATTCAATCATTCAAGAAATAAGCTTAAAGTCTGGTGGTGGTGCATGTATGTAATCCCCACACTGGGGAGGCTGAAAACAGGAGGATCACTAAGAGTCCAAGCTGCATGGTGAGACCAAATACATTTTTAAAAAAATAAGCTTAGGAAGACAACAATGTTTAGCCAAAACAATGTTCCCAGTAGGTATACCTCCCAAGTGCAGAGATGAATGAGTTCTTCACCTCAGAGTCTGTCACTATGGGCGGTGCAGTGTACCAGTTGTCTAAGTGTGGATGGATTACTATCAGACCACAGGGAATGACCACTGTTGACATGTACCTGACTAAATAGTAGAAATCTAGTCAATGCAGCCTGATAACCTTCTGGGATGGAGCTAGATTTAGTCATGCCTTCTCCAGTCATTGTTAAGATATCACCCACTAATTCTTAGCTTAACAGCATTCAGAAACATCAGTTAATTTATTGCTTATATTATCCCTCTGAGGTAGTGTATCATTTCCATCATTATGGTAGTGAGAAGTGACCTTTTGACATAATGTGAATGGTCAGTTTGAAAATTGTACCGAAACATCCAAGACAAATCAGACAACAGGCATGTGCTTGTTTAGTTTTGTTTCTTTTGTTTTTTTCTCCTGAGCACCGACATGATTTACTAAAGTTCATATGTACAAATGGCCAAGAAAAAAAAAATGATGACTGAAGTTTAACTTTAAAAAGCATCTTGTAGAGTATTTCTCATTGGCAGTCAACTTATTATACCCAGCAGAATTAAACTACCTTGGTGCTGGGTGCAGAAGGACCATCTGATGGTTGTTGCCAGCAGCATAAAAGGCAGAACAGGAAAAGCTGCCAAAACGCTCTTAGGGATGCTGTTTGGAGGAGCTTTTGGAGCTATTGGAGCTGCTAGTTCTCTTGGGCTGTCCTGCTGGAGGACCTTGATGGGCTGGCTTTCCCAGTGAACTCTGGAGGAGCTCTGGTCCTCATCTTGAGCATCGCTTCCTGGCTCCGGAGGGGAAGATGGTGCACTGCTCAGCCTCTTGAAGAAACTTCTCACTGCCTTTTCCTGATGGGAACTTGGCTTTCCTCATTGTTTGGGAAGCTTGGGATCTCACTGTTACTGAGCCAGGCTGTGGTACTTTGGGGGAAGCCCAGGTGCTTGCCTTGTACACTGCTTTCTGGCTCCAGTTCTGATGCCTCAGCCTGCTGGCACAGATCCTTCATCCCACTGGCACAGACTTTCTAGCTTCCACACTGACCTTTGGGCCTTCCCAGCACAGATCCATGAAGCGGACCTGCATGAGGCTTTATTGTGGGCTCTAGGCCTGCGGTTGGACTTGTGGGAGGCGTTGTGACGAGCTCTAGGGACTTTACCTGGACTCATGTGGTATGTTATGATCTAGGCCCTGAGCTAGATGTATGTAGACAGATTTCCTGCACTTCTTATATATGATTCTTGGGTGATTCATTATAAAATATCATTATAAAATGTTTCCTGTACCATATCGTTCCCCTTGCAAAAACTCCAGCACATCCTAAAGCAGCTAACCATTAGTAAAACATTTTCAAACAATGAATGGCACATCTCCCAAGTGACTATTATCCAACCATCATAAAGAATATGAGCTTATATTTGTTATTAAGTCTTGAGGAGCAAACCAGTCTAGAGAGTTCAGTCCTCACTTTGTATATACTGTTTTAAACAAATACATTGATTTCACCAAAATAATTATTACTTAAATATACATGTACAGCAAAGTTACAACAGGTTAAAAATGATGACTGCATAGACATGTCATGACTACATGTCCTCCACGCTTTGTATAGACAATATTATGAGGAATTTTCCTTTTTAATACTGAGTTTTTATAATGTGTATATATCATTTTAGTAGTTAAAGATGCATTAAAATTCTATTTTAAAGCACGAAAACTTCAAAATATAATGATAGGAAAGAGATAAATGTAGGGGAATTTTCAAAGTGTTTAGACCAAATAAAAAAGTGGTAGATTTTTATTTTTAAATTGGCCTCTAAGCACATGGCTAGGAATATGCATTATTTTATCTTTCTCCAAATGTGAGTCTCTGCTGTTCTCTTTTCTCATTTCAGAATAGCGTATTTAACTTGAAATTCATTCCAAACAGAGAATTTCATTTTATTTTGTGTCGCTTTTGAGCCGCCCAGTGCTGTGTTCAGGGCCCTTGCCCCAATGCGAGGCTTCACTTTCTTTCTGAGCCCTGTGCACCCTCTGGTGGATGCTCCACCTAGCAGTATGATGACTGGAATCAGAGAGCTGCAGAAACGCAAAGCTGTCCTCAAATCTCAACACTTCTGGCAGGATCCCTGCCTGTTAGCTCAGTCAGTTAAGATCCTGCCTATGCAAATACAGTCTGGCACAGGATACCTAGGTTCGATCCCCAGCTCCTCATGCCTTACCAGACCTAACCTTAAGGCAGCCTGAGCCAGCGCCCCCCAAAAAAAATCCTCAACTTTTGGGGCCCAAGGAGATAACTCAGTAGAATAAGTGCTTGCCTGGCAAGCGCAGGGTCCTGAGTTCAATCCTCAGTTCCACCAAAAAAACCCAAACAAACCAGAAAGAAAGAGAGAAAGTAACATTTCTGGCAACTGTAGATCATTTGCGTATCCTGAGGCTTTTACACAGACTCCAGCTGCTGCTAGATCTGGGATAGATGGGGGAGACATCACCAGGGGGCCGAGGAGCCGGTAGGACATGGGGCTTCTGGCTCCTTGTGCTCCCTTTCCTCTCATCCCCATTTCTGTTTCTCCAAATCATTCAGCTGAACATTTTAAGTTCTTAAGAAACAGTGCCTGAAGTGTAACACTATGCTAATGAGCGAAACTTGAGGGCCCATCCGCACTGGGGAGATGTGAACATGGTGTATGCACTACGTGGACGGTTGGACGAGTTCATCTTTATGTTCTTAGAGCTGAGATTTGTTCTTGTGAGCAGTTCAAGAGGAAAAAGGCAGAGTTGCCCTATTTTTCCCCTTTCTACAGGACGGTATTTGTGTGATGGCGGTCTTCTAATCTTGGTATATAGCTTCATGTGTAATGAGTCAGTCTGAAACTTATAACACTACAGGGTAGGACCACACTATTATAATCCCCCTTAGACAAACCCACACATGGAAAATGTAAGTAATTTCCCCACAGTACCATTACTAGAAGT